TATATATATATATATATATATATATATATATATATATACATATATAACGTGGGTCATATAAATTGTTGCAGACGGGTATCTCAGAAAAAATGCATTATTCGAGAAGAAGTCTCAGATGAAAATCACAAGATATCGAGGGGAGTAAGAGTTACAAGTTATAACAAGAATTACAAAATATCGTGGGGAACATAAGATGGTAATATTATCATGACAATTAAATGTTTATTTCAAGCTCATTGTGAATTATTTTAAGTAAAAATATATTTTTTTCTGAATAAATCGATTCCTCATGTCATAAATAAGTGAGAAATCATCGAAAAATAAATATTTTTCGCAATATTTTACATTTTACGCTGAGGTACTTTTCAACATAAGAGAAATGAGGAGAATATTTTACAAATATTTTGAAAAATATCCGCTTTTCTATGACATCGCCTGAATTTTTTTATACATAGAATAACAAGAGGAATCGATTGATAATACGAATCTTTACTGGTGCATCAATGCATTTGCAAAATGTAGTGGAAATATTTTAAAGTATCTCTTTATTCAGTACATATTCGATTCCAAAACTATTAAAGTGATGTCATCGAAAAATGAATATTTTCCAAGATACAAGATATTTTATTTTTTGCATTGAAGAATATCAGCACAAAATGCAAAATATCTCGGGAAGTATTTACTTTTCGATCATTTTATTTGGATATTTTTATATGTAGAATAACTTGAGGCATCGATTTGTTTAGAAAGAATTATATGATTCTATTTAAAATCCAAGCTGACCTCGAAAGAAACCTTGAAAGAAACATTTCATTGTGACAGTAATACTACCATATTTTATACTCTCCACGGTATCTTATAACGAGTTTGTGACTTCCCTCGAACAATGCATTTCTTCCGAGATACTGTTCTGCAACACTTTATATGCTCCACTCTGTATATAAAGATATCCTCTTTCTTTAATTTCAGCCTATGACTGCTAAAGACGCGAGTATTTTTTCCGACTCGACTTTTCGCAATTCGGTCGGGGAGGTGGTCTCCCCGATGGTAGATCGTAGGAACGACGAAAGGAAACTCGACGACATATACCTCGCAGAAAATTTCGTTCCGTTACCGGGAACGGAAGCCTTCTCTCGCGTGAATCCTCGCTTCGCCGCATTTGTTTTCTCCTTTATAGTTCCGAGCTGTGAATTCTTTTCATTGTGCCAATATCAAAAAAGAAATGTGGAAATTAGGGAGCGAGTAAATTTAGGAGGTATGCAAATGTATAGAAAGAGAACAGTAAACGACTGAGATCGGCCGTCCCCAGCCGATCGTAGTTAGATTTATAGAATTAAAAAGGGAATAAAGGAACGCCGACAGAAACGACGGCATTTAGGTTAAGATGGAATTTTTAAATTTCTCTTCCCCTTTTTTCACACTCGATTTATACACATTCGTTCACTTTTTTCTCTCTGTTTACTTCTCTTCTCTATTGACTAGACCTCCGGGTCTTCTCTTGGTTAGGAATTGTTTTCATCGAGAATTGTTCAGAGCGTAACGTAGTAATGAAGTATGGCGGATCGCGAGGGTGTTTCGTTACCGCTCTCCCCCTAGTGTCTCCTCCTTCCCCTCCCGTTGTGAACCCTTCTCTTTCCGCGGTTCTCTCATCTCTTGAGAATTTTTCATCCGGACCATCCTTCATCCCGCCGCCGTGTACGAGACGACAGCCCAGGAATTACAAACCAGAGCGAAACGCTCACGCGCCCGTTTGCCCCTCCCACCCGCGATAATGTTGAAGTACAGGAAGGGCCGGAGGGATACATGGTCTCGAATCAACTCGAATTATAAATTGCAATCGATGGTACGAGTCGCGTGCGCGATCTCGATCGTTGTCGTCTCAGACCCGGTATTCTCCCTTCCACGAAGAGATGGGAACGATGCTCCTATGAAAAGTTCGAGCGAATTGTACTTCTTGTTGGGCGCAGCAAATTATATATATATATATATATATATATATATATATATATATATATATATATATATATAAAAAAA